GCCACCAAAGCCAAATGCCTTAACTAAGGACCGATCACATTCCAAGATCACATGGGTGTCTTTACCTTTTTAGGTCAGAGCTCTTAAGCCTGCTGAAAACCTACAACTGCTACCATGAGGGCAGAAGCTTTCAGCTGAGACACAGGGAGGTAAGGCCCATTTTTCTTCTTTTTCATAAGGTCACCATATATCCTGGCTTGCCAAAAAGACTTTGGCAAGTCTTTTTCTTGGCAACTGCTTTATATCTGTTAACCAAGGGTAATTCTTTATACCTTTTAACCAAGTGAAAGAATATTTCCTTCACTTTAAGTGTCCAGTAAGGATAATGAATTGTAAGGTCTCCCATTCTCTGAGTTGGGGACCAAATTATCTCCTTTAAGGTCCCTGCAAGTGTGCTGAGGGTCGGACCATCCCCGAAAGAATGCAGAGCCGATGTATTTCACAACGTGGGTCTTCTCCTTCCTCCTGGGAGTTTTGTCTCAGTGAAGGTCAGGATTCTGGTGTTTGAAATCTTTTGAGATTCCACCCAGCCCAGTCCTTCCTCAGCCCATCCTCCATCACAGGGCCCTGGTTTGCCCAAGTTCACAGCAATCCAGGAATAAAAGCAGAGCCACTCTGCTTTTCAACCAAGAGGAGAGCCTTGCAGTAGAGGAGATCTCCCCAGATGATGCTCAGAGGGCCAGGCAGGTCCAAACGTGAAAGGCAGGGTGGGCATGGGGAGAGAGGACATCGAAGAGGACATCAGTCCACTGGCAGGCCACCGCTGCCTGTCAGATCCAACCCAGGGTGGCTCCATGGAGTTATGAGACTGGGACACCCAAACCCTTCCTGATTTTTCAAAAGAAGCTAAATATCTGGAATTTCATGTGGAATTTCCAAACCTCGAAACACTACGTGAGCTAAACAAAGGACATCTGTAAGCTGAACATATCCCATGGGCACCAGCTGGACTCCAGGGAGTGACCAGCATGGCCAAGGCTCAGGGAACCACTTACCAGGCAGATTAAGTAGAGGTGGTCTTACCACAATCCAGAACTTCCAGATCTGTCACAGGGGAGCCCTGGTCAGGATATTGGGATAATTTGAAAGGCCAAATGGGAAGTCTTATCATGATTAAGCTTTATTTTGGGGGTTACCACAGTTGAAATCCCCTGGACAAGGAAATGGCAATCCACTCCAGCATTCACACCTGAAAAATGCCATGGACAGAGGAGTTACATGGCGGGCCATAGTCCATACAGTCACAAAGAGTTGGACATGACAGAGAGACTGAACACAAGGTTGAGATCGTGTTGGCTCTTGGACTTTCTGCAGCCCATCAGTGTCTGAGAAGGGCCGGCAGACTCTTCCCACCCTCCTTTCCTCGGGCCTGCTGAATCAGAAACTCTTTCACCCTCACAGCTGTTTTGACAAGTCCTCCAGGGAATTCTGGTGATGGCCAAGTTTGAGAACAGCTGATCTAAGAGCTTGATCTTGGCACTTGGGATTCCCCAGAGCATTCCCCTCTGTAGGAACAGCTGAGTGGGAAGAGGGACTGGGAAGCCCCAACCCTGTTTGTGTGATGGGACAGTCCCCGTGGAGGACTAGAGGACCCTGCATCAGGAAGAGGAGCTCCTGACGTTCCCCAGAGGCAGGAAGTTAACATCCCACAGGCAGAGATTTTCATTTTTCTAACCCTAAAGCAGGTGCGGGGGTCTGACTTGACCTCCTTGGAGCTGGAAAGTACTTTTCATGAAACTTCTGCAGCTTTAACCATCCAGGTGTGCCAGCCTGAGGGAGTGTATGTCTTTGGAGGTGACCGCCACCATCGAGACAGGTCACTGGCTTGAGAGGCAGGGAGTTCTAATACTGAAATGCATGACTGGTTCCTAGAGCACCACGTCTCAGAGTGACTCACCCACCACCCAGTGTCGGGGCCTCTGCAGTTCCTCAGATGGCTCACCTGGGACCTTCTGGGCCTCAGAGACTCGCTGTCCTCAGAACTTGCTACAGGGCCACCTGAGACTGGCCTCTCCTGACCCTGCAGACCCCAAGGGCAGGACAGACAGGAGGAGCTAGGCCTCAACTCTATTCATTGTAGTCCTAGAACTTGATGAGGGAGGAGGGGCCATTTTCCAACAAAGAAACCGAGACTCTTCAAATCTCTGGTCCAAGATGACACTGAAGTAAGTCAAAGATGCTGGTGTGGCTCCAAGACCTGAGCAGAGAAGTGTTTAATAGAGTGATAGCATGGTCAGCATTAAGCTCTGGAGGGCTTTGGAGGTCTCTATTGAGGATGACTCACCAGATCTTAGAGACTCAGAGAGCTGTTCATTACCTTTGTTCCCCAGGCTCTATCCCTAACCTAAGCAGAGGGCGCTCAGCATCGGGTACCCATGGAGCAACCTCAGCCTGGCTGCTACGGTTGGGGGACCTTCTCTTCCACTGTCTCATCTGCAGTCCCTTGAACTTGGAGAGATGAAATATGTCAATGGGCAGGGGCCGCACCTGGAGCAAGCATTTCCCTGTGAACTTTCCCCCAGCTTCTAAAGGGCTAGGAGCATAGGATTCCCAGCTCAATAGGCTGAAGCACTAGCTTCCTTCATTGAAAACCTTGCCTTTAGGATAGGATAATTCTGCTTGTTTTAGAATGAAAAGTGTGAATAACCAGGAGCAATCTGAGCCTTTTGGAAAAATAGCAAAACATTTTAACCAGGCTGGTTGGTGCCTCTAGAGAATAATGGACCACCAGGAAATGCCAGTGGGCAACTATATCACTGCTGACATTATGAGCTAGAGGCCTTAGGGCCCTGGGGTCACTGGGTGCGGCCAACTTCCAAAGCCAGCCTCCCACCTTGCCCAGCGCTCAGCTCTAAACGGATACAGAGCTCCCCCTGGTGGCCTGAGTGCATATCACACCCAGTGTAGGACCTCAGCCCCTGAGTCACCGCAGCGTGCTTCAGAATGGGAAGGACCATCCTCCACCAGGGGTCCCCTTCCCTCTTAGAATGATCCCCCTTCCCCTAAGGCCTGAAGGCAGGAATGACAGGCGTTGACAGACCACCCGTGTTCCCTGGGAGTTGCTGAGTGCTTTCCAGCCTGCCTCTCCAGGTGGGAGGGGCCTTTGGTTCACTTCCCTGTCTCAGCGGAGGGTGGGAGAAGAATGAGGCTGCTCACTAGGGCCACACCGAGCACTTTGTTAGGCTCTTCTGTCCTCAGGCGCTTGGGACATCGCTGGAGACCACTTCTCCCAGACCTTTATTCTTTTCTGTTTTCTTTTTAGGGGGTACCTTCTGAAGGTGCCATTAGGTTCTTTTACATCCAGGAAATAGAGAAGTCCAGAGCCCAGGGCTCTCCTTGGCCCTGTCTGATCTCCCAAAGTGCAGCAGTGTGATTTCTGAGCTTGCGGGATTAGCAACGTCATCCTAGTTTCCGCTGCTTCTCTGTAAGGCTGGCCCAGTGAGCCCAGCACATCCCATCACCAGCCACACACCCACCCAGTAGGTCAGCCCTCCTTGTCACCTCCTAAGGATGTTCCAATCCATGCCTGTTCCACACATATTTGCTGCAGAAGGTCAGAAACCCAGAGGTTTGAGCCAAGCAGAGGCACAGCAGGTAGTGACGGCTGGGAATTTGTATACAGTGTTCATAATTCCATCTCCAAGTTCACTTGTACTGTTTCCCCAATCACTGTAGAATGTGAAGGATGGGCCTTGCTGTCCCCATTTTACAGATCAGGAAACTAACCACTTGTCTGAAATGTTTTCTTTTAAAATTAAAATTATCATCATTCTAATAATTTTTTTTAATGTATGGTTTACATTCTGCCTCCTCAGAGAACACCCATTAAAGAGGACTGATAAGCACTGTAAGCATCCAAAGTGATTTTTGTAAATATTTTAAAGTTGAAGGAAAGAAAGGGCAAAAGAGAGGGAGGGAAAGTAATTTGCTAGTCCACAGAGCAAGGAGGTCGGGGAAACTGAAGCAGGCCGTGAGCCCTCCTGTGGCCCCAGCTCTATCCTTTGCTCCTCTGTCCTTCCCAGCCCGATGAGGGCAGCCAGCCCTGGCCAGGCCCAGGAGAACCCAGCAGCGGGTCTCAGGCCTGTGTCTTCTCGGTGCTCTGATGCCCCACCTCCTCCCTGAGGAATGCAGTCTGCCCTCTCCCCTACTCCTCACCCTCACCCCCTTGCTTGCCAGACGCCTCTGGGAACTGGGTTTGCCAGGCTGTGGAGACCCAGGGCTGGGCAGGGCGGGGGGACACCCATGGACATGTGGAATGAAGCTGTGGTCCCTGAACATACCCAAGAGCGGGGCACCTAAACCCTGCCGTTCACCCCCTGGATGAGGCGGTGGGGGGTGGGAATGAGTGGAGACAGAACCATGTGGTCTGGTGAGCAGTGCCCTGCAGGCTGACCGATCCAGGTTTTGTCTTGGCCATCAGCGTGGGGGAATGCTCCTGAGGCCACAGCAGGACTTGCGCGGTGGGACCCCTGAGGCACCCGGGAAGCCCCAGGGACAGACCCCCTGAAGCACAGCAGCTGTGTTTGCGGAACCCCTGTGTTTGCTTATGGGCCCCGTGGGGGGACTTGGGAGTGCCCAGGGCTGGGCTCTGAAACCACTGGGGCCAAGACCTTCGTTTCTCTTCTCCCCCAAACTTCCTTGTTTCCCCACCTGTGAGGCCGCCAGAGAGGCAGCAGCTGCTCCACGTGTGGGCTCGTAACCTGCGCCCCCAATGTGTGCAGGTTTTAGCACAACCTAGGAGGCAGGTCTCATTAATCACAGCTTATCCAGGAGAAAACTGAGGAACAGACATGCTAAATAACTTGCGGAAGGTGATCAGCCAGTTAGGAGAACCACAAGTGGGACAGGCTGTTATTCAAAGATGGGGTCTCACTAGGACTTGCCAAAGCAGAGAGCCCCTGCAGAGAGGTGGTTCCCTCCCAGAGACCTGCCAGGGCAGTGCCCACCTGGATTGGGGGGGTGGATAGGAAGGGGAGGTGTGGCGGAGACGCAGATCTGTGTGCTGTTTACAGAAGTCTTTATTGGGGAGGTGTCAGAGTTCATGGATCACCGGGAGGTGCAAATAGAGAGTTCTGAGGATGCTGCTGGGGCGGGGGCTTGTGGGGGAGCCCGCATCCTGCCCAGGCTGCCCAGAAGCCTGGGAGCACCGGTGCCAGTCCCTCGACGTTCTCTGCAGGGAGTGCCCTGGATCCTTGGCATCACTCAGCCTCCCTCTGGGAGTCGCTGGGGCCTTGCCACTGTCCATCTGTCTGCGAGAAGCCCAGGGATCAGCGGAGGGTCCAGTCCTCCTTGGCACATCCCTTCTACTTGGCTGCTTCTCCTGAGACTCCCCAAAGAGCCAGTCCAGGGGGTCCACAGTGCCAGTCCCAGGCAGGGAGGGCTGCTGGCCAGTGAAGCGAGTGGTGATGTCCTGTAGAGACCCAGTGGGACAGCTCTTCGCACAGGAACGGGCTGGCCGGTGGGGTCTGCTGGTTCGCACCCTCGCTGCAGCCTCATCCAGCACTGAGGTGGGCTGTGCCAACTGACAAATGGACCTCACGTAGTCATCCAGGCTGGGGGAGGCGGGGGGCTCCTCTCCAGCCCCTCCGGGTAGCATCTCCTCCGAGGTCTCCCGAATTGTGGGCAGGAGGGCCACAGAAAGCAAAAGCCGGGACCTCATAGCTGCCGGTGACGGGGAGGCAGCGACCTGTTGGTTGACAGAGGACTCGGGGTGAGGGACCGCTGGCCATCCTGACACCCCTCCCATGTCCCCTCCCCCATCTGAGGTCCCCTGGGAGAATCAGAAGCCTGAGAGCAATTTAAAGTCTGCAGATCCAAGACCAGGCTCAATATGCCAGGCTTCTGTCCACTGTGCTGCTATCCAGAGTGAAAGCCTCCCTGAGCTGTCTGGCAAACCTTGGGGCCTGGCCACTGCTTTTATACCTTTCCACCAGCAATCAATTACTGTCACACGGGGCCAAAAATAGCAGCACTCAGGAAGGCTCTCAGAGGAAAACAGCTTGGCTGGGCGGGGTCTGGCCCAGCTGCCAGCTCGGAGCAAGTGTTTGCACTCCTGGGAGGTTCTGGGAATGTTTACTCCGCAGGGCAGGGGTGGGGTAGCCACAGCTCCTGGCCATCTCAGGGCACTGGGAGGGGCAGGGGCCTCCAGTGGACTTCCACAGCAGCCCTAGACTCTGCCATCTCTGCCTGGAAGCATTCTTCGATACATCTTACACCAGCACGCTGACATCCCACGTCACTCTGGCCCAGTGCTGGCTCTGGCTGAGCCCCCAGCCTGCACCTGCAAGGGACCCCATCAGACACAGCAATGCAGAACTCAGCCTGGAGGTGGCCGAGGCCGGGCTTCCTGGGCTTGCTGAGACTTGGGCTATGCCCACCTTCCTCTGGTCCTTGGGACCAGAGGCAGCCTGAGGGGTCCTGGTCTTGCCGCTTCACAGAGGAGGAGCTATCAGATGAGAACTGGCTTGTGTATTTGTTCCTGGGTATCTAACTAGTACTTCTCTGCACCAGTGACTATTCTAGGTACAGAGAACGTAGCAATGAACGAGTCGTTACATCCTTCACCCAAAATGCGGTTCAGGTCTTGGCTTTCAGACTTGGCTTCAGACACCACTGTCAGATGTTGACACATTGCTGGAGAGAATCTCCGCTCCACCAGGAACATCTCATGTCCACTTGCAGACATGATTATCCATTGATACCCGCCCCACGGTGGACTCTGGGTGGAGGAACATGAAAAAAAAACAGCTGCAGACAAGCTGATGCTCTGGGGCAAGCCTGAGGTAGGGTCCACGAGGCTGGACATGCTGAGGCCAGGCCTTCAAAGACGGCTCTGGGGACCCCACTGTGAAGAAAGTGGTGGGGCTTGCTCTGGGGAAGCGAGGGGTTGGGGCAGAGCTGCTGCTTCTGAGGTTAGGGCTAAGCCATGCTGGGGACCAGCTGCCTTGTGCGACTCATGTCTGGTGTCCCTGAAAAGACAGCGGGGGTGCCCCCAGTCTGAGCTCCCCTACCCTGGATGGAGGGAACACCCTCTCAGCCTGCAGCTTTCTCTGATCTTATCAGAGGAAACCCACAGCAGAGGAGTGGGACCTCCTTCACCACCCACTTTGGGTTTTCTTATTATCCTCACGGGACCTTTAACTCATTGAATCCATCAAGTCTTTACTTTACAGATAGTTACCTATTTGTGCCTGTGTAGCATCAGTGGTTATCAGTGACTCTGGGTGTTTCTTTTGTTGTTGTTGTTACCTGTTTTCTTTTTAGCAGATGGTGCAAAGCCATTCCAGAAAGCTATGTGTGTTTTTGATAACCTTGTACAGAAGAGAACTATTTTCTTTGTGGATGGCAGGGTGTTTTTAAACTATTACGAACTAACCATGAAATCAATACTGCAGGACACCCCTATAAGTGTTGCCAGGGATATGAGACTTCCACAAGGTCCCTGTTCTCACAGTTTTCAGTGCTAACAAGGAGAAAGAAATGGCTTTGATGAATCTATAATAGAATGGTGCTTGAGATAGCACTGGGAGAATGATGTTTTACATTTATTGCCGAAAGACCAGCATCAGAGCAGATTAGGAGCATGTAGCTGGGGAGATCTGACTCTGCTGAAGGGTGAGGCAAAGAAGGTTTCTGGCAGATGCTCTGAGGGTACAGACAAAGCAGCCTGGCCAGGAGCACGTGTGGGCTTGATTAACTTGGCACAGGGAAGTTGGAGGTGGTTGTGTGCAGACAGAAACCTGAAATAGGTCAAGAAACAGAATCAAGGACCCAAGGGGAGCAAGTAGGAGCTGGCTGAGAGTGTTTCTGGAGGACTCTGTTGATTAGGACCTCAGGGTTTGGCAGCAGGTGAGTGGCTGTGCCATCTGCAGACCTTGGAGAATTGGGGCTGGTCAGGGATGCAGGCTAGGAGCTGTTGTAGACACTCTGAGTGTGTGTGCCACTGCTGGGATGTGGGACTGGCCATATCCCAGGTGGTGAGGAAGGCAAGACTGGCCCTCAGGAAAGAGGCCAGCTTGGAAATCTGGGGGTGGGGACCATGCTAGTCCCGCTCAGTTCTAGTGAGCATGGGATCCAGTGCCCTTGGCACATTCCCAGAAGGGCCAGGTGACCGTGGGCCCCCTGAGCAGGCGCAGCGCTGGGCAGAGAGCCGCCCTGTGTTGCACCGGTGTCTGCACAGCTGTGCTTCCCTGGAGCATGCTTCCTTGCCCTGTGTGGACGTGCCTGCCGGACAGCAGCTGCGTTCCTGTGGGATACCTGACTCAGCGCCCTGTCCCAGCCCCTGCGCCCGAGCGGTGGAAGGGCACGCCTCAGGCTTCCTCTCCAGCCCGGGCCTCGTGCCTTAGAGCACAGAGAAATCCGTGAGCCTTCCCCTAGAGGAAGACGGGACCCCAGGGATAAGAGGCTGCATTTGGGGGCCTGAGTGCACTGGGGAGTCCCCTGGGCCGGGGCTGACTTCTGAGGGGGGTGTGAGGGTGGTCAGTGACCCCTGAGTGCAGCTGCTCTGAGAGGACAGGCTAAGCGTGTGGGTCCCCACAGGAAGAAGGGGCTCTGATCATCGAGGGGCTCCTCAACATCTCCTGGGGACTGAAGCGGCCCATCCGGCTCCAGATACAGGATGACAGGGAGCGCGTGCACCTCTCCTGGACAACCGGACAGTCCAGCTGCCATTCGTGAGTGACCTGCTGGGTGGGGCGGGGCCAGCTGGTCTCCATGACAACCTGAAAGTGCTGCTTGGAGTGTGTGGGGCCAGGAGGTTGATCTCTGCCTCTGCGTGGAAGCCCCATTTCTGTTTGGGGCAGGAGGTGGGAGGGTAACCCAGGGTAACCCACCCTCAACCCGGTCACTCATGTCACCCCTTGACTGCCTCAGCCCAGGACCTCAGCTGCCAACCTGAAGCCTCATCCCCAAGTGGTTCTTCTCCATGACAACAAAGTCACCCTTGCTCCTGGAGAGCGATCCAGGCTGCCCTCCCCTCCACTTGTGCTTCTCAAACATTCCTTGTCTGTAAGAGAAAGAGGCCCCCCAACACTGCCTGCAAGCCAAGCCTCTCAGCATCTCCTGTTCTATCCTAAAACACACAAGTTTAGCCTCCAATGGCTCTGCTTTTATTTCAATATCAGAATTTATTTTTACAAATTTATCAGAATTTATTTGTATTAGATTTATTTGAATATATTAAGAACATTTTGATCAGGATAAAATGGTTTTCTACCTGTCTTAACAGATGTTTGCCTCTTCCCACTTCACACCCAAAGACGGGCAGTAAGCTGCTGAGTTATGCTTGCTTCTACACGTAATAAATCCTTCTAAGAGTCAGAAACTCAAAACATTTTCCCCTTCAAAAATTCAAGGAAAGTTGCTGCTCTCATGGCCCTTTGCACGTTGACACCTGTGGTGTATCTCCAGCTGTCCCTAGTTACCCAGAGTGGATTTTGAGCCTTAGAGCTTTGCGTTTGGATGGGCTCCTTAGAAAAGAGGGTAAAAGTGGTCACACGAACAGTCTCAGACAAGGACCCTCAGAGGCCCCTCAGTGCTGGCTCCTCTGTCTACTCCCCCCACATTCTCTTTCTCGGTGTGACTACTTCCCATTACGCCCATCCCTCCTCCGGTCCAGCCCTGGCCACCCTGGCTTGGAGTCCACCTTTCTCAGAGGCCTGGAGGTTAGGCCACTCAAGGATGCTGCTGCCCTACTCCCCCAGGCCAGAGGGCAGCCCAGGAGAGCCCACTCGGCACGTAGCCACGGAAACCAACCGCCTCGGCCTGGCGCCCAGCATGATTACTGTGTGTGTTCCTCTGTCCTACCCCAGGGCCTAGGACAGGCCACTCAGGTCTGCAGGGCAGACTCCCTCTCCTTCCAGCAGACACTGGCAATCTTTTGCTTTTCTTTTCATCTTTTACATTGACCACGTGTGAAATCCTGGCCTCAACTCGGCCTGTCCTGCTTCTGGCCTGTGTCTGGCCCACAGAGGCAGCCAGCCTCCTTTTCTTTGATCTGAGCTCCCTTTCTCTGCCAGCAGCCCTCTGAGCATCATGATTGTCTCTTTTCAGGAAGGAGCTACCTGTTCAAGATGGCAGAGTCACTGCCCAGGAACCCAGTGCTCAGGCTGGGCCCCGGGAGGAGAGTTCCAGAGACAGCTCAGGTCGGTGGGGCCTCGAGCAGCCCAGGACCCAGTCTCACTTCTCTGGGGTGGTGGTGGGGCTGGCTCATGACTGCCACCTCTGGAGGTCAGCTTTGTGGAGTAGCAAAGAGTGGCTTTGTTTGCCTTCAAGAGCGTGTGTGCTAAGTTGCTTTGGTCATGTTCGACTCTGCGACACTATGGACTGTAGCCTGCCAGGCTTCTCTGTCCGTGGAATTCTGGAGTGGGTTGCCATTGCCTTCTCCAAGGGATCTTCCTGACCCAGGGCTAAAACCCACATCTATAATTCCTGCACTGCAGGCAGATTCTTTACCAGTGAGCCACCAGGGAAGCCCAGCACCTGCTAAATCTCTCCTTAGCCCGCGGCATTCTTACTGACTTCTCACCCAAGGACAAGGAAGTGGAGGCTTCCAGAGATGATGTGGTTGTCTGAGTCCCTACAACGTGCTGCCTTCTGAAAAGGAGAGCGTCTGCAGAGAACACGGCTCTCACCTGGCCCTGCAGGCCTCTGGGACCTCTTCCCCACCTGCCAGGATCCATACCTGGGTGTCTGTCCTCTCTGCACCCTCCTCTTGGACTCAGTGAAGGACTTGTCCCAGAGAGCAGGGCTGGGGCTGTCAAAGTCCTGCTCTGGGTTCCTGGAGTTGGAGGCCCAGAGGCTATGGCCATGTGGTGTGGTGACACAGGTTATCCTGTCTGGGGTCACCTTCCCTGTCTGCAAAATGGGTATCACACTGGCTGGACCCCAGCCTCCATCCCAGGGACAGCGTTCACACTGCTGTCTCCTGCATCCCAGCGTGCCAGGGAGCCACACGTCACATGCAGCACCACCCCGGAGGCTGTTCTGTCGCTGCGGCACCCCCCTGCCCTGAGCCTGACCCCCTTGTCCATTCTCGCCACAGAGCCAGTGGAGGAGGAGGAGGAGACCCCACAGCTGATGCGGACCAAGAGTGACGCAGCCTGTGTAATCCAGAGGCGGCCCAGGAGCCGAGCGCCCGGTGAGGCCCAGAGGATCCGGCGACACCGCTTCTCCATCAACGGGCACTTTTACAACCACAAGGTGAAGTCCCAGTCTGGCCTCTCCCCTGGGCCCTGAAGCTGAGGCATAGGGAACCAGCCCCAAGCACCATGCAGTCGTTGGACCTTCTGGAGTGGGGGCCCCTCGAGGGGTCATCCCTGAATTCATCCTCAGCAAAGCCCTGGTGGGCTTCCCAGGTGGTGCTGATGGTAAAGAATCCACCTGCCAATGCAGAAGACGTAAGAGACGCAGGCTGGATCCCTGGGTCAGGAATATCCCCTGGAGGAGAGCTTGGCAGCCCACTCCAGTATTCTTGCCTGGGAAATCCCATGGACACAGAAGCCTGGGGAGCTACAGTCCAAGGGGTCGCAAAGAGTCAGACACAACTGAAGCGACTTAGCATGCATACACAGCCCTGGTATACAGGTGGGGCTGTGCCTGTGTCCTGATGGAGAAACAGGCTCAGGAAGACAGTTGTCTTGCCCCAAATAACATTTCAGTTCATGACCACAAAGCTTGTATTTTTTGCATCACACGGTCACTGTAAATTCATTCTCACAAATTGCACGAATATTTGGAGAGTGATGCTAAATTTGTCTTTAACAAGTCGATTTTCTATAAGGTTTCTACCCAAGGTCAGTTCACTGTTTCATGGGAATGTCATGTCCCCTACTGCCATGTCACTTAAGCCAGCTAGGTCGAGGTGTGCCCTGGAGCAGGTGTGATGGGTCCCAGAGAACTCTCACAGCTCCTGATTCCCAGCACTCAGCCTTTTGTCCTAGCCTTTTGTCCAAGTATGTATTGTACTGACCTCAGGAAAAAAAAGATCTCCTTCCCCTGATGACATCATTCCATAAACAAACCCAACTGTAAAAAGGAGAAGTGGATTGTTACTATAAATGGCACACATGGCAGTGTGGGTGAGGCCCTGAATGGAGCGTCCTGTCATAGAACACATCCTGCAGCGCTGGGAAGCTGGAAGCCAGGGTTTCCAGGCTCAGCAGCTGCCCTTCCTGATAGGTGGTGGGTGACTCATGGGATGGGGGGAGCTGGGCAAAGGGAGGTCTTGGGTCAGATCTAAAGCACAGTCACATAAGTGAGGTCTGAGGTCTGCTCAGAGCCATTCAAGCTTATCTTGGGGTACCCTGCACTTGGGTATGAAGAATTCAACAAGGCAGGCTGAAGGGACCCTGCTCCATCATCAGGACCTCCCTCCACTCCACACTAGGTTTGCAGTGAGTGTTAATGAGGAACAATAGGTTATCTTCACTGAATCTAGGAGGGTGAATGCCTGAGTCACTCAGTCATGTCCAACTCTTTGTGACCCCATGGACTATACTCTGCCAGGCTTCTCTATCCATGTGATTTACCAGGCAAAAATACTGGAGTGGGCAGCCATTTCCTTCTCCAAGAGATCTTCATGGCCCAGGGATTAAACCCAGGTCTCCTGCACTGCAGGCAGTTTCTTTACCATCTGAGCCACCAAGGGAAATCCAAACCTAGGAAAACCAGGAGTATCTGAGAGCAGTTTCCTCAGAGGGGGAGGGGAAGGCAGGGCTGAAGTTAAACAGAGATTAAGAATGTCTGGATTAGCCAAAGGACCAGCCATCTAACTTGGGTATTCTTTTTTTTTTTACAGCAGCTGCCCTTCCTGATAGGTGGTGGGTGACTCATGGGATGGGGGGAGCTGGGCAAAGGGAGGTCTTGGGTCAGATCTAAAGCACAGTCACATAAGTGAGGTCTGAGGTCTGCTCAGAGCCATTCAAGCTTCTCTTGGGGTACCCTGCACTTGGGTATGAAGAATTCAACAAGGCAGGCTGAAGGGACCCTGCTCCATCATCAGGACCTCCCTCCACTCCACACTAGGTTTGCAGTGAGTGTTAATGAGGAACAATAGGTTATCTTCACTGAATCTAGGAGGGTGAATGCGTGAGTCACTCAGTCATGTCCAACTCTTTGTGACCCCATGGACTATACTCTGCCAGGCTTCTCTGTCCATGTGATTTACCAGGCAAAAATACTGGAGTGGGCAGCCATTTCCTTCTCCAAGAGATCTTTATGGCCCAGGGATTAAACCCAGGTCTCCTGCACTGCAGGCAGTTTCTTTACCATCTGAGCCACCAAGGGAAATCCAAACCTAGGAAAACCAGGAGTATCTGAGAGCAGTTTCCTCAGAGGGGGAGGGGAAGGCAGGGCTGAAGTTAAACAGAGATTAAGAATGTCTGGATTAGCCAAAGGACCAGCCATCTAACTTGGGTATTCTTTTTTTTTTTCAACGTGGACCATTTTTAGTCTTTATTGAATTTGTTGCCATATTGCTTCTGTTTTATGTTTGGTGTTTTTTGGCCACAAGGCATGTGGGATCTTAGCTGCCTGCCCAGGGGTCAAACCCGGCCCCTTGTAGTGGAAGGCAAAGTCTTAAACACTGGACTGCCAGGGAAGTCCCTGACTTGGGTATTCTTTAAATACTGCTCCAAAGGGATTTAGTCTGCAAAGTGTTAAGTAAGCACCATTTGCTAATATTTGAATAAATATTGATATGCTATTTTAAGAGATTATTTGAAAATTTAGAAAGATTCTTTGCATGGATTTAGGCTCATTCTAATTCTACATTCCTAAAAAAAAAAAGGAGGTTTTTATGACTCAGGGTACTGAATCGTGGGCTTTATCTTCAGTACATTCACCTCTCCTCTAAGAGGTGTGTTGGGCACTTTAAACCTTACATTAGTCGTTGCAAACGTCACAGGGACAAGAAGTCTGAACACCCTGTAGCCTTTGAAATGAACTGAAGTGAACAGTCAGGGCTTTCATCACAGTCTTTCACGTCCCGTGGTGCCATCCTGCCAAGAAGGGCTTCTTAGCCAGCCAGTCCTACACTCGACACACCAGCCAGGGTGGCTTTACCCCAAGTCAGAGATTTACCTGCGAAACGTGGATCCATTCTTCCAGGCAAACTGGGTACCTTCCGGGACATGAACTAGTGTCTTAGGCATGTTGGACAGCTGATTCACATCTCCTGGAGGAGCAAGGGGCTCCCTCTTTTTCTCCTCACTCCACATCCATTCAGAATCAGTGTCCTTGGAAATCAGGTAACAAAGTACTTGAGTCACAGGCAACAATTAAAAAATAATAATAAATTCCTAGAATTAACTTCCTGGAGTTGTTATTCCAGGTTTTATTTCTTATAACTGTACACTATTGCTCCACTTAATTATTTTCTAAAACAGTTCTTACTCACAGTACTGTTGGCTTGATTTCCAGAGTGGGTAAACTTGGTACCTGTTTTCAGTTCTTTGCCTGTCGGACTCAAGTGTGTTCTATGAGGGAGAAACCACTGTGGTTAGAGACAGGAAAAGAGCCACAGGACTTCTGTTCCTACTTGGAGCTGGTTGGTCTGTCTTGAGAAAAGAGTTCAGGCTGAAGAAACACTGTGTCTTGTTGACATGACCTTTCTTCTCCTAGAGATAGCCTGACTCCTCTGTTTCATATTTCTTAGAAACTGAAAGTCTAGTTGGACTTTCTGTATCACCCAGAGTCATTCTACATCTCAACTGTGGAGAAAGCAGGTTTGGGTTTGAGGCTGGCTCTAGTACTTGGAGATCAGCTGGGGACACTGAACAGAGCCCTCATGTACCCTGAGCCCCAGAACATCCTGGGAAAAGCAGGGCTAGGATCATGCAGGAGGAATGTGTAAACTGGAATTTGGTTTCAGAAAGCAAGGAGGAATCCTAAACCCTCCTCCTTTCGTTAACTGATACATATTACTTGGATATTTGTATAGCTGCTTTTTCTGGGACTTAGGGAACATAGCTTTCATTAGATTCTTCAAGAGGTCCAATTACAAAAGGATTAAGATCATGGTTTAAGAGGAATACACTTAATGACACAAAAACATATTCATGATACATTTATATTATGTTAGCAGATTATGTGCAACATGATTCCATTTTTATAAAAACATATGTCTTTATAGGTATAAAGATAAGAATGGAACATTAAAGTTTTAACAACAGTTATCACTTGATAGTTGAATTACAGATCATTTCAAATTTATTCTTTTTGTTTCTCAATGGTCGTTAAACTTGCTACAATAAAACTATATTTTAGCCAACTAGTTACAGTACTTAAGATATCAAAACTAATTTTGAAGGTTATTGAGTAGATTAAAAGTTATAGTACATATGAAAGCATGGTATAAATCACAAGACAGAAAGGTTAAAAAAAAAATGAAAACAAGGAGGAGCTTGCCCACAGGGAAGTCAGATACGAAGGGAGGATCCTGTGCCATGCTGGTGAAGATGGGGCTTGGGGCAGCTCTGCCCTTTCTAGATGGGTGACTCTGATGAGCTACTAACTTCCCCAAGCTCCATGTACTCCTAAGGACTGTTGTGAGGATTAAATCAAAGTATATATAAAGTAGTTAGCAGGTTTATTACCTGATTAGTGATCATTAAGGGCTTAATAAGCTTTAAGCTTATTCCCTGGAAATTCCCTGGTTGACTTCATATATAGTGTCTCATGAACAAAGGCGGGATACCTGCAAGAATATCACAGGCCCCCAAAACTGTGCAGAAGCAGTGTGGCTGGAGCATGGGATGCTTGGGAGGGAACCATGTGTCACACGTGCACAATGTGGGAGGAGCTGCAGACGTCACTGTCTAGGCTGTAGCACATGCTGTGATACAGTACTGCTCAAAGTTACCCTACAAATAGCATCACAGGATGTTTTCCTCAAATGGGGATGTTGATCCGGGAGCCTGCACCAGGGGGCCTGAGACTGTATACTGACACAGCTGGTCCAGAACACACTTTGAGTTGCAAAATGTTTGAAAGGTTGTTCCTTTGGGCAATAGGGTGGAAAATGGATCGAAAGGGCTGAGACTGGAAGAGAAAAGTTGGGAAGCTGATGCAGTGTAAACAGAGGGCCTCACTGCAGGCAAGCTGGGAGAATAGAGCAAAGTGGACAGATTTGAGAACCTTTAGCCTTAGAATCAGCAGACACGTGGTGATTTGATTCTAGGCAGAGTAGAGAGGCTCGTTCCCCAACCCCTTGTGAATGAGTCTCATGGCCCTTGTTATTGTTCAGTCACTCAGTTATGTACAATTCTTTGCGACCCCATGCACTGCAGCACACCAAGCTTCCCATGGCCCTGGTTCCTAGAAAAAAGAATCTGGCTCTTATAGATCTGCAGGCATCTTTCTTAGAGGCCTCTGTAGGATGTGAGCTGTCAAAGCTTCCCTGCTCATGCCTGGATCTGGGCGCAGCTCGTGTGTGGATCTGTGTGGATGGACAGACACAGGTGATTGCAGAGCCCAGGTTCGCCTGCTGTCCCAGGCTGCTCAGTGCCAGCTGGCTGACAGCATGCCCACACTCTGCCTGCTGTCAGCCCTGTGTCCCCTCTCGCCTCACCCTGAACCGCCTCCCCCTTCCTGTGCAGACCTCCGTGTTCACTCCTGCCTATGGGTCCATGACCAACGTGAGAGTCAACAGCACCATGACGACCCTGCAGGTGCTCACTCTGCTGCTGAACAAGTTCCGAGTAAGTCTGGCCATGGACAGCCTCACCCCAGATGCTGGTGGTTTGCAGTTTTGTTGGGGAGGGGGCTGGCAAAAGCCATGGCTCCTAGTAGAAGGCTGAGCGAGGTTTCCTCTGCTGAGCTGGCAGGAGAAATGCTCTGGGAATTTAAGCAGAGAGAGGGGAGAGGAGGGTCCCTGGGGATTTGTGTGGGGGGCATTGGAGATGTGGTTACTGCCAGGGGTCCTTTTCTCTCTCTCCTGTCTTGAAAAGCCATGGTCTGACTTCCTGTCACTACCTGTGCAGGTGGAAAACGGCCCCAGTGAGTTTGCACTCTACATCGTTCATGAGTCTGGGGGTAAGTGTCTGCCTTAGATTCCTGATCATAAAAACTAAAGTCCCCATCCATTTGACTGAGCCCCTTCTCTGAGGGCTGAGCTGGCTTGTGCAGCGGGCACAGGGCAGGTGCCCTCCTGGCCTTGGGACACACTGTGCCCACACCACGAGTAACCCTCCCAGGCTTATATCCAGGCACACTTGTCATCCCTTTCATCCCACCAGAACCACATGGTGAGCCGATCTCTCCAGTAAGTTCAGTGAGGGGTAGGGAGGACTTTGCTTCTGGGTTCTCAGGATGGATGAGAAGCCCCGCCCCCACTGAGAACTGCTGTTGCAGAATTTGTACCACACAGCCCTCTGTCCAGCGCTGCGTGGCCTGGCCTCCCCAAGTCCGCTTCCCATGCCCTGCTCCTCCAGCCACTGTTCCTCTCTGAGCGGGGCCTTCGCTGAAGGACACAATCCACATCATCAAGGCAGTGTCCATCCCATAACATCTGGCAGCATTGCTGGGGCCTCTGGACATCTGTCTTCCATCCCATTCCCATCCTGGAACAAAGAGACATGGTCCTACCGCCCCATGAATTTTGTCTACCACGTTCTTTTTCAGAGCGGACAAAATTAAAAGACTGTGAGTACCCACTGATTTCCAGAATTCTACATGGGCCCTGTGAGAAGATCGCCAGGATATTCCTAATGGAAGCTGACTTGGGCGAGGAGGTCCCCCACGATGTGAGTGGGGTTGAGGCATCTCGAGGCCTCTCCTGAGGGAGGGGCTGGGGGACAGCATGGCGGACTCCTGTGACCTTGGGCAGAGCCCCCTTGGGCATTGCTTCCAGGGCCCCCCATGGCCATCACAAAGGTCCATCCCATCTTGATGGTTTCATCCCGTCTTGTTCCTATCAGCCACCACCAGATCCATCAGCTGGCTCAGGGAAATAAGAAGTTGGGTCTTAGAAAACCATGGCCTGGCCTTTTCCATTCTTTCCAGACAGATAGAGTCTTTTCCTTCACTGGAGTGTGTTTGTTGTTATTTACATAAAAAAAAAAAAAAAAAAAAACAGCAAAAGCTCCTTACCTAGGGTCTAACTGCACTTTATGGAACGGACCAAGTTTCTCAGGACATCTTGAGTCCTGAATGGGCAATGAGCACATTTCCAAACTCTGCTACACAGAATAGGCCTATAGGGTGTGGACCCCAAGAAGAAGGCCTGTGACCCTGTGTCCCTGGGGCCATTTGCAGACTAGTGAGTTTCATTTCATTGTTAGAAACAATGGCATTCCCACCATCTCCACCCCAACCCCAGAGAATACCCAGAGTGACTCCACTCACTACTGAATGGTCTTCCTAAAATTCAGTTTAATCTTTCCTCCCAGGGATCACAGTTGCCTTTGGGGTCGGAATGGGCTCCATCCTCCCATCCTGGTATACACAGAGCTGTGTCGGGGGGTGGGAAGAAGACGGGAAGCCTCTTCCTTGGAGACAAGATCCCGCTGAATTGGCCACAAGGAAAAGAAAAAATTTTTGGCCTCTAATTTAAAGCACATTAAAATGTTCTTGGATTTTCTAGGTCGCTCAGTACATTAAGTTTGAAATGCCGGTGCTGGACAGTTTTGTTGAAAAATTAAAAGAAGAGGAGGAAAGAGAAATAATCAAACTGACCATGAAGTAAGCAGCACTTAAATAGCCAGTGGTGGGTCTGGAACATCAGGGCAAGCCTGCAGTCAGAGCATCAGGCCCAGGGCTGGGAGAGCTCTCCCTCCAGTTGTGCCAGATGTCCTCACGCAGTTCAGGGATGCCTGCTAACCCTGGCTCCCCAGGACCTCCCTCTGGCCCCTTGCTCCACAGTGATACCAGACTGGGGTGACAGCCTTCCAAAATGGGGGCCTGCAGCCCAGGCCGCCCATCGAGCCTTGGCAGCCTGACTGTCACGGGACAGACACAAGCTGCTGAAAACTGGGCAGGAGAGTCGGGCAACAGCACGGGCAGGCCCTGGCCCAGGGCTGAGCGTTCTACTGGAGATGCTGCCCTAGAGGTGCCGCCGAGGGGGCCTGCCCGTGCACATTCAGCCTGGCCTGAGAAGTGCCCGTTCACACTAGCGGGAGTGCTGAGCCTGCCCCAAAGCAGTAGTTATTGGGATTGCCTGTACCCCTGATGGTTGCAAGTGCAGTGGACCAGTTCAATGGGCAGGTGAGTGGGTGTCACCTGCTGGCTTCTAGGGGGAAGCTCCGGCAGGACCTGGCTATGTGAGGTCAGGTCACAAACCCCAATGGTCTGTCTCTCCCTCTGCAAGGGAAACCCAGTCCCAGAGTCCCTCTTAGGATGGGAAGGAGGGAGGCCGCTCACTGTGACAATCTGCGGTCAGGGGACTGTGTAAATCCTGGCTTCTGGCTGAATGGTTCTTAAAAAGGCTTCTATGTGTACAGTTAGGCCCCACTCAGGCAGGCAGCGGAGACCTCATCAGCAGGAACTGTGGCATAGCAGCGAGAAAAGACCTGGGGGTCGCCTGATCTGGGTCTGCTTGGTGTGCTGAGAGGGAAGAGCAGCCCGAGATGAGGAAGGAGTCCACACCACGTGACTGGAGAGTCAGGGCTCGAACACAGGCTTCCTGACCCCCCTCTGCCATCCTATCTAATCCAGCACACTCCTGTCCATACTGGAGAATCTTTGGAATAGAAAGAGCATTCTCCTGTGAAGCTTGACAGAGTCTGCAACTCTGTGTGACTGCTCCTCGAAGCCAGTGGCCTCGCAGGATGCGGATCCTGGCTCTTCCTTCTCCTTGGCAGAGGAGAGATGGTGGCCGCTAATCAGCCGGTCAGGAGCCATGGGTCTCCAGGCCCAGCATCTCTGGGCTCCCTTGCTGCGCTCCTCGCTCCCTGTCCCCTCTGGTACCAGTGTGTCCTCTCGGCTGTGTCTCCCTCCAGGTTCCAAGCCCTGCGTCTGACAATGCTACAGCGCCTGGAGCAGCTGGTGGAGGCCAAGTAGCCCACCAGTGCCTGCCTCTTCCGAAGCCCCCAGCAGCCAGTGCACACGGAGTGCCGGCGGCCAGGCCCTGATTGGTCACCCAGATTGGTCACACGGCCGAGGAATCCAGCATCCGTGCTTCTGCCTGGCCACCTGCCTAGGTAGCATGAGTCCCATGGCCCTGGCCCTTGGCTCCAAGCTGAGCACTCTCGGGGCCCAGTCCTAAGCCTGAGGACCCAGGAACTTGCTGGATGGGGTCTGCATGTGAGACGGGCCTGGGCTTTGAGCAGCCCTGAAGCTGTGACCTGAGCCCAGTTAAGGAAATAGATGGCATGGCCAGTCCTGTTCATGCCACACCTCTCCAACTCAGGAGAGCAGAACACGGTCTTGCTTCCAGAGCGTGGACTCCATCTGCTTTTCCAGTGCCTGGCCCAGAGCTACTGCAGAACCACAAGCCATTATCCTCATCAAACACGTGAACCACTAGACCCTATCCACCCTCACCTCATGCCGCCACTCAGAAACTCTGCTGGGAAAAGCAAGAACTGCCAGCAGGCATGGGACGTACACTGCCCCCAGCTGTCACTTTACCGTGACGGGGTGCCAGGTAAAGACTCTGATGTCCTCAAGCCTCTGATGTCACTCCATGAGCCTCGCATAGCTCAGTGCCCTGCCGGCAGAGGTCAGACGAAGAATAAGAGCATCAGTGGCCCATCTTCTCTCAGCGGCACTCACTCTGAACTTCACCTGAACACCTGCAGGGATTCTTATAAGGAGCTCGCTGCAAGAAACATGTCGATTGTATCACAATGAGGAGGTGACCCATAGGACACTGAAAGGATGCTTCCAGGGTGGGTGAGAGGCCAGGAGATATCAAGGGACTGCCGGCAACAGCTTGGGAAGACCACACTTTGCCCATCACCACTCTCCTCGGACATTCGTATGCCTCCTGCCCTCTCTGGGTGTGCGTCAATACTCCCATCAAAGGGCCGCCACCGGGAAAAACTGTTTGAGGAGAAAGGGCTTTGAATCCCTTGGGGTCAAATCCAGAACAATTTGGGCCTGCCAACTGATGGAAAAATTCTAGAATGAACAAGAAGGCCTTTGCAAAAATTACGCAACAGTTTATAGCAGTCATGTGAGGTGTCTGTCCAAAACAGCAAACAAGACCAGATTCTCCCCATGGGGCCCATGGATTATGGATTTAAAGGGAAAAACTATAAAGTTTCCCAAAACTAGAAAGTCAATATGAGTGAGATTCCAACTCTGCCGCATTCAGCAGCTCCTCACCAGCACCCATAAAGAACAGAGCTTGGGAGCAGCTGCGCCATTTGAGTCCACTGTTCAGGGTGAACCCCACACCAGGATTGTCCCAACCTGGCACCATGATCACAGAGGCAAGTGCAGAGATACCCAGGGGAGGTGTGCCGCAGTTTCCCCTCTCCTTTGTTAGCAGAGTTTCCTAGGTACTCAATAAAGGTGTAGCTACATGGAACCAAAGGAGTTAGGCCCAAGCTTTTTTTCTTCACTTGTGTGTGTCTACCCTGACCCTCTGCTCTGACCTCTGAAACTTTTGTCCTACAGTACATGTGGCCAAGTTTGGTAGAGGAGCTAACGCTGAACCACAGCCCACCACTCTTGATGCTGACATGACTCCTTCCTTTCCATGCACATCCTTGGGATTGGTGTGGGGCCTGAGGACAGCGACAGCTGTTGGGTGCAGAGGAGGAGGTCTGTGGGCAGCCTGGACAGTAAGCGTCAGAGTCACCCTGAATTGCAGAGTTCTAGCTTCAGGAGCACCTCGGGAATCTTCCAGGGCTCAGGGGGATGCAACAGGTCTAGGAGACGGTAAAGAACTAGTCAAAAAGGGCTCCCCAGTGAAATAGTGAAATAGCTACCCAGAGGGCTTCCCTGGTGGCTCAGACAATAAAGAATCTGCCTGCAGTGCAGGAGACCTGGGTTCAGTCCTTGGGTTGGGAAGATCCCCTGGAGAAGGAAATGGCAACCCACTCCGGTATTCTTGCCTAGAAAATCCCATGGACAGAGAAGCCCGGCGGGCTACAGTCCATGGGTCACAAGAGTCAGACATGATGAATAAAACCACCACCAGCTTCCCAGACCATATTTATAAGTTCAGGTCAAGGACAACTGCTGACCATCGTTCAGCAGTAATCGAGGGACTACTGCCTTGTGCCAGACCTGAGCTCAGCTCCGAAGGGACAAAGACAGTCATGCTGCACCCTGCATTCAGAGGTCTCCTAATTAGGAGAACAGGCCACACACCCTGGAGGGTCAGGGGATCTGCAGAGCAGAGAGATGGTGAGGCTCCCTGAAAGGAGGCCCAAGGCTGAGCCCAATTTGCCTAAGACAGCATGTGTCAGCCTTCTAGCCTGAAGACGCCAGCTAACCTTGGACCAGACAGGGCCTGACACATGAAGAGCCATCAGATGAAGGAAACCCTCTGTAAACATTCCCCAGTTTTGTTTTTGGGGGTTGGTTGGTTGGTTTTCTTTTCTTTTCTTTCCAGTTGTTACAATATTACTTCATTTAAGGCCTGTCTTGATAAGGGTCACTTGTGAAATAGAAAAGTTATCAAAACTAACTTCTGAATAACATAGCTAAGAAATCTCTAACAAGGGGAAAAGGTACAGACAAACCTCAGATACTGCATATTTGGTTCCAGAGCACTGCAATAAAGTACATATGACAATAAAGTGAGTCACACAAATTGGTTTCCCATTGTATAGCAAAGTTATGTTTAAGCCCTACTATTATCTATGAAGTGTACAATAGCATTGTCTAAAAAACAATGCACATACCTTAATTTAAAAATACTTTATTGCTAAAAAATGCTAACCATTCTCTGAGCCTTTGGCAAGTCATAATCTTTTGCAACAATGACATCAAAGATTATTGATCATAGATCACTGTAATAAATATAATAATGACAAGTGACAAGTGAAGTCGCCCAGTTGTGTCCGACTCTTTGCGATCCCATGGACTGTAGCCTACAACACTCCTCCATCCATGGAATTTTCCAGGCAAGAGTACTGGAGTGGGTTGCTATTTCCTTCTCCAGGGGATCTTCCCAACCCAGGGATCGAACCTGGGTCTCCCACATTGTAGGCAGATGCTTTACCATCTGAGCCACAGGCTTGAAAATTGTGATATCAACTAAAAAAAAAACCACAGCCTAAAATTTGCGAGTTTTTTTAAATTAGAGAATAATCACAATATTGTGATGATTTTTGCCATACATCAACATGAATTGGCATTTGTTTACATATGTCCCCTCTCTCTGGAACCCCCCTCCTGAGTTATGTTTTATTTGAGGAACTTACTGAGGACCAACGCCCATGGGAGAGCCTGTTAGACAGCTCTGAAGAACTGTTCCAAAGAGGTAAGGGAGGAAACAAGATATGGAGTTTTCGCTTAAAAACAGAACAAAAAAACATGTAGTCAAACATCAAAAGATTAATGCTAATCACAAAAAAACAGACATCTCAAGTTAATGATTTTACTGCCTTTTGTGTACGAAGATACAAGAGTCTGGGTCATTAAAATTACTCCTTAGATATGCATCTTAATTATGGAGGGCCAGTATCCTGTTTTTCTCTATTCTGAATTCCCCTTGGGGTACACCCTTGGAGCAGCTGCAGTGACTGATGGCTTGATAGCAGGCAACATTTCTTGTTTACAGAAATGGCTGGCAACATGCGACATTTTTTTGTCTGTAGTGAGAATTACCAAAATGTGACACAGAGATGTGAAGTGAGCAAAGGCTATTGGAAAAATGGCACCAATAGACTTATTCAATGCAAGGTTGCCACAAACCTTCAATTTTTAAAAAATGCAATGTTTGCAAAGAACAATAAAACGAAGTATGCCTGTACACTTCTACAACCATTTGAGGATTACAGTTTTCTATCAACAATACTTGCTTTTCAGAGGCAATTTGAAAAGATGCTAATCCAGCTCACTAGGACCCCACAATTTCAGACTTTCTCCTAGGCTCTGCGGTTTCTTGCTGGTTTATGTGGGAGTTCCATGTACCTCTCTCCATAGAGCTTTTAGAGAGTTTGTCATACCTTGCTTCACTCACTAGTATCTCAGGTAGAAAAATGTATCCAAAGGTAAAGTGAAGATTGCGGTGATGAGCGTCCTCTCCTAGATCAGGACGGTCTTCCCAGGTCAGACCTCAGGAACCAGGGAAAATAATAAACACAAGATAAAATCAACATGATTGCAAAAGATCTGAACTCAGGAAAAACAGGGTAATTTGCCCAGAGCAAATGAGCAGAAGGAATTAAAAAAAAAAAAAAAAAGCTTGTTTTTCCTGTGGTGATAACCATTTGCTACCAGCTGAGAATGTTTACCAGAAGATGGATTAAAGACCTTCCCACTGTTAAAATAAAGCCATTGGTTCACCAAGGACACACCTGGCCCGTTAGTCCTAGGGAAATAAAGCACAAGGCTTACCCTGTCAGATCGGGTGATTGTGGAGAAGCTAGCAATACACAATGTGCCCATGTGGGCAGGATCCAGGTGCCCACAGCTGCAAGGCAGCAGTGGGATATTTTTGTCAGGTGCCCTACCCCTGCCTCCCAGGAAAGGCAGTCCAGACTCAAGCCTTTCCAAATGTAAAAACAGCAAGTGCACATGCTGTCTTCAGGTCCCAGGAGCTGTGATTATCTGGGAGAAAGCCAGCTGCTGATCCGCCCTTGGACTCTGCTCCCTCCTGGCTGGGCTTTTAACAGAGATGTTTTCTGCAAACTCAGGAATGGGAATTCCCAGAGTTTCCTTTCCCAAAGGAAACAGAAAGCAAAGTCTCAGGCTTGGAGGGCAGAACCATTGTTCGGGGGCCCTTTATGGGAGACAGACGGCCCCTGTTACTGCACTTGGTCCCTGGGCCACACGTGTGACCAGCCTCCTTTGCATTGTTGCCAGTGCAGACCCCAGGCAGCAGCGCTCCCTGTCAAGGCAGTGCTTTCTGGTGTGTGTCTCTGTCTGCAAGGGAGTTGGGGGTGCAAGGAACAAAACTAGAGTAAAAAGAAGCTGTCTTGCCAAGACAGTTCTCAGTCTGTAACACAACACTCTATAGCAATTATACTAAAAAAAAAAAAAAAACCTTGTTCNAAAACAACCTGTTCTCAGCCCAGAAGCCTCTTCTTCCTAGAATGAGCCCTTCAGATACAACTGGACCCAAGGACACTCTGGCCCCTGCTGTGAGCAGTTTCCCAGAGAAGCCCTAACCACTGAGAGAGCTGGCCTGTCTTGACCCAATTTTCTCAGAAAGATGTTCTGTTAGGAGAACACAGCCTATCTCTGTGGCCCTGGCTGTACAGTCCTCCCTCTCACTTCCCCCTCTTTTTCCTTTCTGCTTTGTAAATATCCAGGCCTTCCTTGTGGCTTAGCTGGTAAGGAATCTGCCTGCAGTACAGGAGACCTGGGTTTAATCCCTAGGTTGGGAAGATCCCCTAGATCTGTAAATATTTACACTGGATCTGTAAATATCCAGTGTGACCAATTTCAAGCATTTACTCTGTTTAAAAGTAACCTGGAATTCTATTTGACAGATACTGCTAGGTAGAGGCGAAGAGCATAGGCTCTGAGGCCAAACTGTCTGCCACTTATGAACATGTAACCTTAGGCAAGCGACATGCCTCCATTTTCTCATTGTTACAGGATTATAACAATTCTTATCTCTTAAGAGTGGTTACAAGAGAGTTTACTCCTCTGGCCTTTTACATGTGACTGCAGGTGGCTACAAGTGGGTCCACTCCACATGTCCTCTCATCCTGGAGCAGCCACTACTTGGGACATATTATTCTTGAAGCAGAGGGAAAAAAGAATGGTGGCAGAAACAGAGTGACCCAAAGCTTCTTCTGGAATGGGCTACACATTGCATGCACACACATGCAGCTGGCCAATGCTACTCATATAAAGTTAATATCAGTGGAATGGGCAGTCATTCACTAGGAGACAATGAAAGTCACACAGCTTTAAGCAGGGATGTAAAACTCAAGAAGGGTGGAGCAAATGCTCAGGAACCATCACACCATGGGAATACTGAATGAGGAACTGCCAGTGCTTCCAACAGTACCTGGAACCTAGTAAGCACTCAATAGGTGTTGGCTATTATCATACTGACATAAATTGAGAGCATAAAACCCTGCCTACTTTCTCTCCCTCTCTTCTTCCTTTTCTTCTTTACTCTTCCCCCTCCTCTCCACCCCGTATCCTTTTCTATCTCTTGCCTCTCTCCATCCTTACCTCCTACTCTGTTCACTCTTGGCTACCCACAGCCCTTTATTTCCTGACTGCTGTTCTCTCCTTTTTAAGATTCATCTTCCTTCATCCAGTTCTCTACTCCTCTCATCTACACATCTCTGGGCCTTCTGTAGCTGGCCCAACTGTTTTTAGGTACAGGCAAAAGGGATAATCCACCTTTACGTGGGCTGTGTAGTTTTAACTGGGCTTCCCAGGTAGCTCAAATGGTAAAGAATCTGCAGTGCAAGAGGCCTGGGTTCGATCCCTGGGTTGAGAAGATCCCTGGAGAAGGACATGGCAACTCACTTCAGTATTCTTGCCTGGAAAATTCCATGGACAGAGGAGCCTGGCAGGATACAGTCCATGGAGTTGCAGAAGAGTCAGACACAACTGAGCGAGTAACGCTTCTCTTACTAGTAAAATTTTTTAAATAAATGTTTACTATTTTAATGCACATAAAGCAAACAGTTCCAGCAGGTCACTTTTGTTCTTGTAACTTTACCTAAACTATCTTTGGCCACTGTCCCATACCCCTACCCCCATCCAACCACCAGAATCAACCACTTGTAATAATAATTTAATAGTAAAATAACAGTGCCTGGCATGCTCCAGCCCATGGGGTCACAAAGAGTCGGACACAACTTAGCAACTGAACAACAACAAACCATGCCTCATATTTCCTATGTGGTAGGCATTGTGCTAAGTGCCTTCCATTATCTTATTTAATCTTAACAGTCTGGCTATCATCTAGGTTACTGAGTTGACAGTCCCTGTCCAGGACTTAGTCAGTTTCACGCTTTTCCATCTGCAGAGCAGAAGGCTCCATCTTGAGATCAGAACCTTCTTCCATTAACCCACTATGTATTCCAGGCAAGTTTCCCTCTCAGCCTTATTTTATTGCTCTTTAAGACAGATACTAGGATCCCTGCTTCGTGAGACTATAGTAAAGATGAATGACCAGAGAACAGATGTAAAAGCACTTTGTGAACAATGAGACATCTTATAAATTCATTCATTCAACAAATATTTTCTGAGTGCCTGCTACCTTCTGAGCACTGTTCTGAGCACCACAGATAGGACAAAGAACAGGAAATAGATTATAAAAGCTTTGGTGCCCCTGTGAAGTCATGAGCTCTTGTTCTAGAAACATGGGGGGCTTTTGCTCTAATAAGAGCAAAGTCTTTTGAGAATTTAGGAAGCCTTTGGAGGATTTTCAACAAAACGAATGACATGATCTGAGTTGGGTTTTTCAGAGGACCACTCTGGGGCTGTGAGTAGATGTAGGACGACCAGAGAGGAAGCTAATGCAATAATCCAGATAGGAAGTAATAGCAGCCTGATGGCATTAATAGCAGTGGAGGTGTTGAAAGTGGTTCAATTCTGGATATATTTTGAAGATTGAGCCAACAGAATTATAGATGGCTTGGAATTGGGTTTGGGGTGAAAAAAAGAGACAACAGTGACATCAAGATTTTTGACCTGAGCAACTGGAAAGTTGGAGTTGCCATCAACTGTCAGGATGAAGACTGCTGAAGTAACATGTTCGGTGAATATAGTAAGTTCATCTGGGGGTATACCACACATGCAAATGGGCACTGAGTAACTGTATATACAAGTCTAGAGCTCAGTAATACTCGCATCCCAACTTCAGACTGGAGTTAGCAGTTCAAGAGTCTTCAGCAGATACAGATAGTATCTGAAGCCATTAGATTGGAGGCGTTCTGTAGGCAAAGGAGGGCCCAGGGAGAAGAGGGATCAGGTGACCCAGCACAAGAAGGCGATTGGCTGCAAGAGATGAAAACAAGGAGAGATCATTACTAAAGAAAAACAGGTGGTGTGTTGAAAATCACCAGACTTGGGAGTCAAAAAGACACATTCCAATATGTGGCCATCTACTTACACACTGTCTGAACTTGAGCAAACTGCTACTCTAAGCCTTGGTTTCCTTAACTGTAAAATGAGTTCAATCAATTAACACAACACTGTAAGGCAACTACGTGTGTGCGCTTAGTCTCGCAGTCCTGTCCAATTCTGTTACCCCATGGACTGTAGTCTGCCAGGCTCCTCTGTCCACGGGATTCTCCAGGCAAGAACACTGAAGTGGGTTGCCATTTTCTCATCCAGGGGCGTCTTCCCGACCCAGGGGCTGAACCCACATCTCTTATGTCTCCTGCTTTGCAGGCGGATTCTTTACCCGCTGAGCCATCAGGAAAATCTCCCAAAAAGCAACTATACTCCAATAAAAACATTTAAGAAAAAAAAAAGAAGAGAGTTATGATCGTTCCCATTTTGTAGGGGCTTTTTGGTATAATTAAATAAGGTGACTCAAAAGTATCAGGAATAGTTTGGGCTCTTCAGAAGCACCTCTATAAAATCAGTAATCAATATATGTACAACAAAGTCTCGGGGTCGAATGGGCTGGTATTGAGTTCAAAAGCCCTGAAACACCGGCTGCAGTTCCCGGCCTGTTGGTGGCTCCTTCATCACAGAGGGAGATAACCACAGATCTTGTGCTCCTGGGAGGCCACACGACGCCTTTCGAGGGATAGGAGATGAAAACAAAAGCACAGGAAGAAACGAAGAGCGGTTTTTTCCGGTGGGCTCGCGACCATAGAGGGTCACTCCGCCAGGATCCTAGAGCGACCGCGTGGCGCAGACTAACCGCGCGGCCTGCACTTCCGGCAGCGCGAAGGGCTCGGGGCAAGCGAGCGAGGGCGGCGGCGGTGAGTGGGCCGAGCCCGCAGGGGCGCGAGCTGGCCGCGGTTGGGCGGCGCCGACCCGGGAACGGCGTGGGGGGCGCGGCTTCGGGCCTCCGCTACCGGGAGGCCCCAAGGGCTCCCCGCCGGCCGGGGGTGAAGAGGGTGGGGTGGGCCCGGCAGTCGGAGGCCTCGGCAGGGCGGAGGCCTTAACCGGAGTCCGGGCGAATTGAGGCCAGAGGACTGCCCTGGGTTTCTGAGCCGCATTCCTTTCGCCATCCATCAGACGCGTGTCCGGATTAAACAGATTGAATAAACGCTTGGGTAGCGCAGGGCTGTTCTGAGCAATTTACAGACCTTGACTCATGTAAATTTCTAACACCCTGATAATCTTGCGGCTTTATTGTCATCCCAATTTTTATTGGCGAGAAAGCAAGCACATTCAGCTTGTTCGCTCCATTCACTCAAGTTTACCGTAATGCCCGCGACTGCCGTGGAGTTTGGCACAGCACCAGTCGGAGCGCTGGACTTGACATGGCAAGTTAGGGTTGCAGTCAGTTCTGCCACTGCTAGTACAGGCTCTGGGGTCAGGCTGCTAGGGGCTGGGAACCTGGCCAAAGTATGCCAACCCTTTCCTTAGAAATGGAAATAGAATGAAGATAATCCCATAAACCTGCTCTGAGAATGAAATAGCACGGTGACGCAGGCTACGTGTATGATTTCCTCGTCTGTAGTGTTCTAGCTGAATTAGAATTTCCTACTAGAACTGCCTTCTATAGTATTGAAAAATAAATGTTTTTTTTTTAACATAATTACCATTATAGCTATTTTTGAACACCAACATCATGTACCTAACAGATGTCTCCTTGAAATAGATGTTCCACAAATATTTACCAAGTTAAGAAATGAGCAGTGCTCTCTAATTTTGCCTTGTACACAGTTTTCTCTCTCTGGTACTTACCTTAATTACAGCAGATGTAACTGTTAAATACACAGTTAAAATCTCAGCACTATCAGGTCTAGAGTCTCACTTATACAATATAATGAAGGAAAAGCAGTAACCATGAAATAATTTTTGTTTTCAGTTATTTGCTTTGTAAGCTTGTATGCAAAGACCAAGGTGATTATTCCCATTTTAAAGTCTACTTGCTGACA